GAAGAGCGTAGTCAATGTCACTGAACTGTGCATGTAGAAATTTTTGAAACAGTGTATCTTTGGCTATGTGTAGTTTCACAAAAAAAAAAAAGGCTTGAGAAGTTAGAGGGTTAATATATTGTGGGGCTGTTAACCAATGTCATAAAACAACATGTGTAAAAAAAAAAGATTTCATTTCCCTTTATGGCTAAGTAACAAGGGTCACTATGAGTCAGAAATGACTCGACATCCAAGAGTTTTGGGTAACGTGTACACCAATGTCCATTGCAGCACTTTTCACAAAGCCCAAAGATGGAAAAACCTAGATGTCCATCAATAGATAAATAAATAAATAAAATGTAGTATATCCATACAATGGAATACTACTCAGCCATAAGCAACCCGCAGTTTTAAGCTTTTTCCACAGGGTGGCCTGGACCCTGAGTTTCTGGAAAGGTGCACCCCAAGTTTCCCTCATTGCCATTGAATTGTTTCTCACTCGTGGTGACTCCATATGCTTAAGAGTAGAACTGTGCTCCACAGGGTTTTCAATGGCTGTGATCTTATAGAAGCAGATTGCCAGGACTGTCTTCTGTGGTGCCACTTGGTGGATTCAAACAACCAACCCTTCAGGTAATAGTCAAGCACAAACCATTTGTGCCATCCAGGGATCCCCCAAGTTTCCAGGTCACATTTCCTGGCATTCTTTTTACACAACGTCCCCTCCTTTGGTCCTTGACACAGCTCCTCAAACTCTGTAGACCATCTCTTCTTTTTTCCAACATGTGACTGTTCTGGCTTTAGAGACCAGAAACATATCTCTTGAAAACTGTATGTCATCAAAGCCCCTATGGATTGCTTGTCTGCACAGTTCAGTCTGCAGGAGTTTGGGTCAAATGTATAATAAAGCACACAGGGAGCAATTACAGATACTTCTTAGACACAACCAAACACCTCTTGGGATTGGATTTCTGAGTTTGAAGGATTAGGACCACAGTCTCGTGGTACATCTCAGTCAATTGGTATAATATAGTACATAAAGTTATATTCTACATCCTAGTTTGGTGGGTATTGTCTGGGGTCTTAAAAGATTGCAAGTGGCCATTTAAGATACAACTATTGGTCTCTACTCATCCAGAGAAAAAAAGAAAGAAGGAAACCGAAGACTCAAGGAAGAAACTAGTCTACAGGACAAATAAATCTATGCAAACTACAATCTCATCTACCCTGAGACCAGAAGAAATAGTTGGTGTACGACTATCACTGCCAACCATTCTAACCAGGGCCATAATAGATGGACCCTAATAGAATGGGAGAAAAATGTGGAACAGAGCCTCAAATTCCTAAAAAATAAAAATAATGAAACAAAAAACCAGACCTACTAGACTGGTTGAGACAGGAGGACTCCCTGAGACTATTGCCCTGAGATACTCTGAAAGCCTTCAATCAAAAGTAACCCTTAAGGTCACCTTGTAGCTAAATAACACATTGACTCAAAAAATAGTGAATATCACCTGTAAGTACTGTACTTCTTTAAAAAAATCACCTATATGAGACTAAATGGCCAACAATTACTTTACAACAAAGATAAGAATGTAAGGGGGCAGGGAAACTAGATGAACGAAAACAGAACAACCAGAGCAGAAATAATGAGAATGTTCACACATTGTAAAGAATGTAACCATATCACTGAACAACTTGGGTAGAAACTGTAGAATGGGAACCTAAACTGCTGTGTAAACCTTTACTTAAAACACAATAAAATATTTTTTTTAAAAAAAAAAAGAAAGCAAAGAGATGTTGCCCATGAATTCATCATTGGAGAATTCCCATTCCTAGAGCAGGGAAGGTCAGTATCTCTTAGCATGAGTCCAACAGAGGGGCAGGGATGGAGGGGAAAGAAAACTCTAACAGCTCACTCTCTTCTCTTTTAGGCTTTTATGACAAACCCTTCCTCTCAGCTGATCAGGACCACCTGGTGGCACTGGGCGAGAACGTTTCCCTCTGGCGTGGTTCAGCTAGCATCCCATTTGACAGATTTTCACTGACAAAGGATGGGGGAGTTGACCTGCCACCACATCAAAATGAGGGACACCAAGGCAACTTCACACTGGGTCCTGTGAACCACCACTTCTCAGGGAACTACAGGTGCTACAGCTGGTACAATGCCAGCCCTTATGTGTGGTCATCTCCTAGTAACACCCTGGAGCTTGTTGTCACAGGTCGGTACATCCCACCCCAATTCTATGTCCTCCCTGTGTGCTAGATTATAACTAATTATGCTGGCATTTTTATGCTATCATAAACTGTGTCCTTTAATCTTATGTTCTATTGGTTTATTAAGGAGACCTGGCTGCTCAACAGTTAAGCACTTGGCTGCTAACTGAAAGGTTGGCTGTTCAAACCCACCCAGCGGCTCCGAGGGAGAAAGACCTGGCAGAGATCTTTTGGAGCAGATTTGCCCAGTGTAAATGATTGTTTGATTTCTTGACTGAGATTTCCATGGGCATTGATTGTAGATTGAATATTTTCTCTGTTTATCATGATGTTGCTTATTAGTCCAGTTGTGAGAATTTTGGGGGTTTTTGTTTGTATGTTTTTTATTTTGTTATATTTTTATTGTGCTTTAGATGAAGGTTTACGGAGCAAATTAGTTTCTCGTTAAACAACTAACACACATATTGTTTTGTGACATTGGTTGCCAAACCCACAACCTGTCAACACTCTCCCAGCCCTCAACCTTGGGTTCCCCATTTCCATTCATCCAGCTTTCCTGTCCCCTCCTGCCTTCTCATCCTTGCCCTGGGATAGTGTGCCCATTTAGTCTCGTATACATGGTTGAGCTACGTGTATTGTTATTTTATGGGCCTGTCTAATCTTCGGCTGAAGGGTAAACCTCAGAAGTGACTTCAGTACTGAGTTAAAATCGTGTCCAGGGACCATACTCTTGAGTTTCTCCAGTCTCCATCAAGCCAGTTTAAGTCTGGTCTTTTTTTGTGAGTTTGGAACCACAATCAACACCCCTGGAAGCAGCAGTCAGAAATTAAACGACATATTGCATTGGGCAAATCTGCAGCAAAAGACCTCTTTAAAGTGTTGAAAAGCAAAGATGTCACTTTGAGGACTAAGATGCATTCTTCTGGCAGTCCATGATATATACAGCACTCTGGCTGTACTTCTTACAAGACAGATTTTTTTTATTCTTCTGGCAGTCCATGATGGTATATTCAATATTCTTCTCCAACACCATAATTCAAAGGCATCAATTCTTCTTTGGTCTTCCTTATTCATTGTCCAGCTTTC